CCAAACTCTCATCAGCCACACCAGCTGCAGTGCACCCCACCACACATCAGAGAGTGGGTCGCCGTCGGTGTCACTCAGAGATGCGCACCATCGATGGCTTTGAGCAGCTCCTCGGCGATGGTGGCCGACGGCAACACCTGGTGCCAATCAGACTGACACACGAAACACACACAGACAGACAGACAGACAGACGAGTTGGTTGCTCAGCTCAGGTGAACTCAACGAGCAGTGCGTGTGTGTGTGGTTGCTCAGCTCAGGTGAACTCAACGAGCAGTGCGTGTGTGTGTGGTCTACCTCTTGCAGGAGCTGGTGCGTCTCGTTGGCCAGCTTCTCGGCAGTGAGCTCGTCGGTGAGGCACCGGCTGACGAGGCCCGCCAGCTTGGACATCCGCTCGACTGAAGCGCGTGTGCTCTCCTGGTCCACACCACACACACGCACACACAACACGTGTCGTAGGTATGTCGAGTTGGGTGGGCGGGTGGGGGAGGGGGCGTACTGTACCTGCTCCTCACGGCGCTTCTGTTCCTCCTCCCGCTGCTCACGGCGCTTCTGTTCCTCCTCCTCCTCTTGGCGCTTCCTCTCCTGCTCCTCACTGCAGACACGTTCGTATTCACCACACACAGACAGACAGACAGACGAGTGCATCGCATTCATTGGAGTGTATGTGTGCGCATTTGGCCCCCACATCGTGTGTGTACACCTACCGCTGTTTCTCCTTGATGCGGCTCCGCTCCTCCTCCTTCTCGGTGAGCGGACGGTGGCCGCCACCGGCCTGATAGCCACCACACACACATACACAGACACACACACACACAAGTGGGAGGGGGCGTTGGAGGGGCTGGGGGCTGTCTGCTGACTTTCTTGGGCGGGGCGTGAGTCTTGTTCTTGCCCTCGTCGCCCTTCTCCATCCTCGCCAGGGCCTGTCGGACCAACACACACTCATCGATGCAGCCTTCTAACCGCTTGTGCTTCGTGTGGTGCGAGTGTGCTGACCGCTTGGATCCTGTCATAGACGGCTTTGCCCGTGTCCTTCTTGCCTTTGTTCTTGGCCTTCTTCTTCCCTGGCGCCCTCTCTGCCGTCTCCTCCTTCTCGGTGGTGGGTGTGCTGGTGCTGGGGGCCTTGGCGTGCACCGGCGGCGGCGAGAGGGGAGCGGCCGCAGGGGTGGGAGCAGCAGGGGCGGGCGGGGGCACAGTGGACGGCTTGGAGGGCCGGACGGTGGGCGCAGGGAGGGGTGTGGTGTCGCCAGCAGCCGCCGGTGCGGCGATGTCGGTGCTGTCGTCCAGCGGGGAGGTGATGTCCTCGGTGTCCTTGTCAACCGCACTCGAGGGGCTCGACGGCACCACCGGGTTGTCGATGGAACGGGGCAGCGACACTGCACACAGCACACACCAAGCAGACACACATGAACGAATGCGTGTGAGCGTGTCTCTGTGTGGGTGGGTGGTCGACATCATCGGCGCGTACCTTCACGCTCCTTCTTCTGAGTCGGTGGCACGTCGGGACGCTTTGCGGGTGCGGGCGGGGCAGGCTTGCCTCTGTTGGTGGTCGGGGGGGTCTCTGGCTTCGCTGGCGGCGCTGGCGGACCCTTTGGTGGGGACGGGCGGGGCGGGAGCTGGGGACGAGTGCTGCGCTTGGGGGGCCGGCTGCTCGTGTCCAGTGGTGGGAAGTTGTCTGTGCCGCTCGGGGGGCTGACGGGCGGGGGCGATGGGCGCGACATCAGCGGGCCAGCGGGGCTGACGGTGCGGCCGCCGCTGGGGCCGGTGAGGGGCGGCGTTGGCGACTGGGAGTCGAAGGCTGCCGTGAAGTAGGCGTAGAGGTCGTTGTGCCTGCAGATGGGGCACTCCGTCACGAACACACGAGTGTTCTGAACCAATCAAAAACAACAAAGCGACAAAGAGGGACGCGTGTGTGTGTGTTTCAGTCAGTGTCTGTCTGTCTGTCGGTCGGTCTGCTTCGCTGTGTGTGTGTCCTTACGTCCTGGAGTAGGGTCGTCCTGCGATTGTAGGTGAGGTGGTCGTTCGCACAGGTGCTGCACACGAGCTGCACCCATCCATCCATCAATCGACAGACAACTCGTGGATGAAGAGTGAGGTCATGCACGCCTTTGTGTGGGTGGGAAAGTGGCTGCATACTTTTTGCAGCACGGCAGTCTGACCAGCTCCTCGCGACATGTGCAGATGGGGCACTGCATGGTCTTCTGCCCCGTGCCGTTGCCGCCCGCACCCCCGGCCGGCGAGTGGAAGCACACGGGGCACTCCAGGCCATCAACCGACTCCTGCACACAACACAAGTGGGGCCACCAGACACACCACACCCTCCCATGTGTGTGTGAGAATGCGTGTGTGTGTGTGTGTGGTAGGTTTGGTTCTTACGTGCTCTTTCCGCCCGAGCCTCTTCTTGCAGGTGACGCACAATCGGTGGAAGCAGATCAACATGTCCTGTGGGACACACACCCCGAGGAGATAGATAGATGACACACCGTTCGTTCGACCATTGACGCGTGGGGTGGTCGGTTGTGTCCCCAGGTGACGTACCAGTGCTCGCAGCGAGGTGCGGGCCCCACAGTCGCTACACTCTGCCTGTAACGCACTCATCTCCTTGAACGGACGCGTCTGGGACCTGTCGGCCGACATGGCACCACAGACAGACAGGCAGCAATGTGTATGCCGTGTGCACCGCGTGTGCCGTGTCCGTGTGCGAGTGGGGACGTATGTACGTGGCGTAGAGGAGGTCGTAGTGGCCTGGACGGAAGAGAAGGACGACAGGAGTAGTGCCGGGCATCATGACCGACCCCTCGCGGTACTCGTACAGCGGACACAGAGCGTCGGTGTTGTCCTGACACACACACAGAGAGAGAGGTACAGGAGTGAGAAGTCAAGCCAGAGAGGAGAGGTGCGTTGCTGTCGCTTTGTTTTGTCACCCACCAGCTGCACGATATGGATCTTGTCGTTGAGCACTATCGAGGCGACGGCAAACACCAACCCACCCTCCGCCTCACGACCACACACACACACACACACAGATAGACCAACACACCCTCAGCCCCTCAGGCACGATGGATGCATCAGTCCCTCCCTCCCTCCGTCCCTTCTCCGTCGCTCACCCATCTCCATGACCTCCATCTCCACGTACTGCTCCACACTCTGGAAAAACTCCTCCTCAGCAGCCTGACCCTGCTGTCCCTGCTGCTGTGTGGCGCCCGAGCTGATGCTCTTGCCGCCACAGGCCTCGTGTGGTGTGGGTGAGTCGGCGGGGGACGATGCGTCACCTGTGCTGGGGCTGGGGCTGGAGGTGGCGGGGATGGGGTAGGTCGAGACGTACTCGGAGATGGTCAGCACACCCTCCTCACCGGGCGTCACAGACTCGTCGGCGTGCTCCAACATGTACTTGCGCACCAGCCGACGGAGCATCTTGACTGAATCAATGAAGCAGAGGAGGGACAAGACAGGACAGCTCACATGACACGACGCGATTGTGCTGATTGTGCTGTGTGGTGTAGGTATGTGTGGTCAGCTACACACGTACCTATGGCAAGGTCCAGGTCAGCGTCGGTCATGAGTTGCCAGTAGAGCTCACTGCCGCTGAGGGACTGCAGACGGCCGTACTGCACCGCCAGGTCATCGTCCGCCAGCACATCGGCAGGAATGTCAAAGTCGTACGCGGCCGTCTCGCGCAACTCGAGCAGGGCGAAACCCAGCGCACGATAGAAGCAGTTCCTTGCACCACATAAACAACACACCACACACAGGCAATCAACGCCCCGACCCATGACCCTTTTCGTGGCCGCACCATCGCCCCGGACGCGTCTGAAGCGGTCGTAGGTCTCGCAGAGTTTGTCGATCTTTTTCTGGTGGTTCTTGCTGGCCTTGAAGTCACGCTTGAGCACCTCCAGCGCCAATGGGACCGACAGGGGATAGCGCCTGTCCCGCCAGTCGGTCGGCGTAGTGGGAGCATTGACGCCATGGGAGCGGTTAAGGTCGTTCATAGCTCCCACTGCTCCTTGAGTGCCCCGGCCGCCCGCTGAGCCCTCCCCAGTGTTGCTGAGGGGGATGGAGGGCCGCATAGACGAAAGAGGGGGGCGCCACGGTGCCGACGGGTGGAGAGGGGGTGGATGATGCCGTGCGGGCGGTGGGGGAGGGGGAGGATGTTCCATGGGTGCGCGTCGGGCAGACATTCTTCCGGTGGAATGCCGACAACCAAACCAATGTGGGGGTCTCCGGCTCGCACCAAATGGGGGCCACGAGATCGCCTGAAACCAAGCCCGCAGACGATTCAATTGATGTTCACTGTGATGGTTTGTGGCTCCTGTGTACCTGAGTGAGGCCATTCAGCGGTCCTCGTGACCTCTGCAATGCTCCACAGACGGCCAGAGCCCTCCAGCCGAAATCGCTAAACGAGTCCATTTTTCCTTCGCCAGGTCCGTTCCTGCATACACAGAGGCCAACCACACACTTGCTCATTCTCTGCTGTGCCTGCTCTGCCCTCTCTGTGCTGAAATAATTTGCGAGCTAAGCCGTGTGGAATTCTCGCCGACAGCGAAGGAATTAAAAGTGCTGAGAAACACTGGATCTGCCGTGTGGAGGGTGCGGGCAGCCGCGGACACGCCAGCCAGCCGCCAGGCAGCGAGAAACACCGCCATCCGCCGCCGCAGCGGTCCTCTCCCTCTCTTTGTCTTCGTCAGGTGGTCGCCAGGCCGCAGCGATGTGGTGGTGGTCTGCTGCTGCTCAGCTGCTGGCAGATCGAGGCGGCGGAGTGGTGGAGGACAGCGGCGAGCAGTCTGCAACCACAGCGGCAGGCCACTTGTAAGATGCGCCGAGGATCGGTGTTGACGTGGTCGACGCCCTTCTCGCCATCGCCGAAAGGCCGCGCTTCGGAAAGGCGCTGCAAGCTCAGCTGCTGTGATCTCTAACCCGAAACCCTGGAAACACCGCTGCACGGTGCTGCGGAGGGTGGTTGTGACGATGGTGGTGGTCATCTGCCATCGACGAGGTGGGCATTGATGTTCTCCAGATCTGCAGATGATGCACCGACAGCCGTGATGATGTGCTCCCGTGAGTCTCCCGTGAGGTCTCAACATACTGGCGGCATGCTACTGAGGAGGGTAACTGACAGGCACTGCCACTGGCTGGCTGGCTGCTCATCTCACCTCCCTGCCATCGATTGGATGGCTGGTGCTGTCTGTCTGTCGTTGGTGCTGTTTGGTGCAGGTACTTCCCCTTGCTGTGGACGGCAGTCCAGGACGGAGGCCTCGCGAGGCTGCAGGCACGCACACGCACAGCATCGCGGGGGGTGCATTTGTTCTTCATCTGTTCGTATGTGTGTGGGGGTGGTGCGTCACAACTTCAGGTGTACTTCGTCGGCGGCGGAGGCGCCCGGTGAATGACCGGTAGACCGCCACGGGCAACTAGAGGGTGCATTTGAGCCTTCCGTGTCATTGAGTGCGATGACTGTAGGCGTGTTGCCGTCCAAGGGGCTCGGGGCACCCTCCCGGACGATGGCAATTGGACGATGGGGGTGGTCATCGGCCATCGGGGGGGTGGCCATTTCATGTTGCAGATGCTACTCCGACAGCCGTGATTATGTGCAGCATTGAGGTAGGCTGCCAGTTGGCTGCACGCACACACGTAGCATTGCGGGGGTACATTCCTTTGGTGTATCTATCAACAGATGATATCATCTGTTCGTGTGTGTGGTGCCTCAGGACTTTAGCTTTGCTTCGTCGGCGGCCGATGAGGCGCCTCGGCGGAGGGAAGCCCTGCATGAGGTATACCGCTACGGGCAACTGGAGGGTGCATTTGAGCCTTCCGTGTCATTGAGGCTGGGTGCGATGGCTGCAGGTGTGCTGCCGTCCACTGCAAGGGGCTCGTGGCCCCCTGATTCATGCTCTCCAGCTGATGTGGCGGTCACGTGGCGGTGAGGTAGGCCGCAGGCACTGCACGCTGCACGCACGAGCACAGCATCGCGGGGGGTGCATTCCTTCATCATCTGTTCGTCTGTGTATGTCTGTCGTGCGTCGTAACTTCAGGTT